GACAGCGCGCCATCAGTCCTACCCCCCCCACGACCACCATTTTCTAATGAGTACCGCGCAATTGCCCCTCTCCGCAGTCATCCAAAAGCGTGCATATCATCTTCACGCCGCCTAGTGAAGGACTCGCAGGACATCTTGTCGCCATTAACCCCCCCTCCCTTGGCCTCTTTTAGGCGTGCCTCCTCCCCCCCCCCTCCCCCGACCTCTTTCATGCGCGCCTCCATCACATCTTCCCGCCGCCTTTATTTTCGCCTCCATCTCATCTTCTCGCCGCCTTCATTTTCGCGTCCATCACATCTTCTCGCCACCATCGCTGCTCGATCGTCGTGTACGGCGAGCACCGCCATCTAATCATCTCGCCTCCTGCGACATTACCCGCCATCAACCGTGTTCTATGTGCACTGCCATCTAATCTTGTTGCTGCCTGGTATTTCTGGCAGTATAACCACCGACAACCTTCTCTATTGCGCGCTGCCATTACAACTTCTCGCCGCCATCTACTTTCGCCGCCATCAAGCACCACTCGCCGTGCGGTCCTGCGCGCCGCCTAAAGATCTGCTCACCGCCATCTCCAAGGTCGACGAATCGACGTTCTTCTTACGCGCCTTCCATTCCATCGTGCACACAGGAAACATAATGTCTTCTCGCGCCGTTTCACGTGGGAGAGGTGTTGGGAAACAAGTAACGGAAGGCGAGCTTGTACTGAAGAAAGGTCGACATGATCCCACGAAGAGAAGAAGGGGCGTCCAAGGTGGGAAAGGCGTAGTCGGGCGAGAGGTCGAGTTAAATTGGGTGGATGAAGAGGAGAGACAGGAGGAGGACGCCGACTTCCAAGAAGAAGAGGAACAAACTCTTAAGAGGAAAGTGAAGCAGAGAACAGGGGGCGCTATACGGATCGAAGTGGGGGGGGGGTGACGCAGCAGAGGTGGCTCATGATCAGCCGTAGACGCCCTCGAATAAGTGGAACCAACAACCTGTTGGCGTGGCTAGCAGTTCCCAGGCTGTGATCGACTTGTCTGCGAAGCGATCCCCTGCGCCGCAGCCGCGTGGGGAGGCAGTTCAGGTAGTGCGCGAAGTGGCGGACGGTGCGAAGGCGGGCGATGGCGGGGCACTCGGCGAAGACGACGAAGCCTTAGTGAACAAGCTGCGCGGGCAACGTGCGGAG